AAACAAAATAAATTGCCCGCCGCGGGAGACGGCGCACGTGCCCCGCAGTGAAGCCGCACACACCTCTCACAAGGTCGCAAACACCCACAAGCCCAACAGAAGTAGTGGCAGCAGCGCCCGGCGCCCACGCACACTGCCATCCTCAGCGTTGCGCGCCTGCAAGAGAATCTCACTGCCGTTTTTCCGGGACGCGAGGGCGGACGCCGCATCCGTTGCTCCCGCAGCCTTTGCACGAACGTCTTCCCCTGCACCAGCTTCCCCACGCTGGTTTGCCCCACCGCCGTGAACAGCGGCACCTGCATCCGTTGCCCCTGCGCGGTTCTCCGCCTCCGCTCCTGACGTGGGATTATTTGCCGTTGCTCTTTCTGTGGGAGTGGCCGACGCCACCGTTGTTGCGTCCGCTGCTTCACTTACCTCAGGGGTAGTGGGCAGGGACGCCTGTGCGTCTTCCCCTTGAGCGGAAGTAGTACCCTCCTCCGATTGAGGTTGCTGCGTCGCAGTTGCAGGTTCAGGCTCCAACTTCGTCGTCGTCGCCGCTTCCGTGCTCTCACTTGATGAGGCCAATGACGTACCTGTCGGAGTGGCACTGCTCCCCTCCTGCGATGCCCCTTCCCGTACTTCTCCTTCTGACTCAGCAGCAGACTGGACCACGGGCGCCGCTGGAGAGGCAGCAGGGTTCTCCGTGACAGTCGCCGCGGAGGGAGGGGTGACGGGCGCCGCCCTCTTCGACGTCGTCGTCCCTGCCGGTGCCTTGATGAGGACCTTATTCGCGTGCAGGGCACCAATCTCCGTCTCATCCAGCGGGCGGTTGTAGAGCATTACGTTCGTCACCGTCGCATGGATTTGGTTGCCGGCCTGCTGATCATCGTACGCGCCGAAGTAGAAGTGCGAGATCTCGTGCGGCGTCGTTCTTCCAGTCCATACCGTCTGTGGACCCGACACACACTTGCCGTCAACGCACGCAGAGCCCACACCGTTTTGCATTCGAAGCACCACGTGATGTGTTTTGTTCAGCTCCCACGCGGCAAGGTGGTCCTCCGCGAACGCCCCGTGCACTGCGTGCCACTTCATATCGTTTCCGTACGACAGTCCCAGGAGGATCGTCCCCTTACTCTCGCCACTCAGCCTCGCGCCCATCACAGGAATGCCGCGGCCCCCCGTCGGAACCGCGTGGATGGACACCGTCGCCGCAAGCGTGAAGTTGTAGTTGGCAAAGTGGTACCGCTGATGCCACCCCTGCCTGCCCACCGGCCACTCCGCCCCTGCGCCACCTCCGTTGAACGTCAACCCGTTGGACGCTCGCCTTGAGACGCCTCTCACCGTGGCATCCACCCCGAGGTACTCGTCCTTCCACTGGCCGTCGGCCACGGTGCCGGACAAAAAGCCGACCAGCCCGGCTGTGGGGACAGGAACAGTACAGTTCCCTCTCGCCGACGCAGCGCCAGTGGGATGCGAAGTGCATGGGCTCGTAAAGAGGTTGTCCTGGTAGGCCCACCGAAACAAGGCGGCACGTATCCACTGTAGCTCGTTACTCAGGTCCGCAACGAGGGTCCGGTAGGCACCTCCTTCGCTCTCCTCGTATAAACAGTGCAGCTTTCCTTCCTTGTACAGCAGGGAGCTGGAGGTCGCGTTCCCCGCACTGGATACCAGCCCAACGTGGAATATGCGGTTGGCGTCTGTTAGCCACAGGTGCAGCTCCCGTTGCGGGTAGCTCCTGAAATCGTCGGACTGGGTAAGGAGCATCACCTTCTTTCCATCAATCGTCGCAGTGATGAAGCCACCCTGGAAGTCGATTACAGTGCGCGTCCAATGAGTTGCCCCACACGCGCGAGAGTGTCCCGAGCGCCTCCGCCCACGTATCCCCCTTGTCGCTCGTCTCGTACACCTTGCGACGCCCGTCCAAACACGAGGTCATCATGAGGAGCTTCCCCTCCTCCCACTCAAGGAGGCCGGTACTGGTGCAGCCCGCATGGGTCCCGCTCCTCGCCAGCCGCCAATTCTTCTCCTGGTCGCTGAAGTACATAACGGTGGACACGGCCGCCCCTCCCCATGTCAGTAGCTGGACGGGGAACACAAGCGCCCCATCCCTCATCCTCGTGATGGGGGCACTGAAATTGTGGAGGAAACCGACCAAGTCGTTGGAGCTTCGAGGCTCAAGAAGAGGGACCCGCACTGAGGCAGTATCCACCAACAAATCTCCTCCCTGCCAGACAGATGCCCCCAGAAAATGAATGCTGGACTCCCAATAATGTGCATACCCCCCCTGGTGCCTCGGAATCCCTGGCTGGCGTCTCATTTCATAGCCCTCCACAAAAACGCAAAACGGGTTGATGTTCCTGGGAAGCTCCGTTGTGAAGGGGTAGTAATGCGAGACGGGGAAAACACCAGAAGCAGGTGGCGAAAGATATGGGCTCCACGTTACCCCATTGTCCGTGCTGATTCGTGCCGCCAGCCGTGCAGACGCCTCTCCGCCTCGCACAGGTGCATCGAAGAGAGCTCCAAAAAGAGCCAGCAGCACCCCGTCCAAGTCCACAAGATGGGGGCCGCGGAACATGTATTCAACTGTTGGTATTGGGAAGTCCGAAGGCGACACTGACGACGGCTGCAAATTATTGCTTCCAGGGGAGGAGATTGCCCACTGGCGCCCCACGAGATGGGTGTGTGCAGCCCCGCTGCTGCCGCATATCAGCACGCAGAGCAGCAGCAGCACCGCAGAGGGCAACCGATGCCGGGGCATGCTGGGCCGTCGCCGCTCCCTTTCTCTCCCTTCACTCCTCGCGCTGGATCCGGTGAGGCCGCGGCGGCTGTGTGTGTGCGTGTGGTGGAACCCGGCAACAGCAGCACCCGAGTGTGTTGGCGGTGTGTGTGTGTGTTGCCGGTGGCAGTAGCTTCAGAGCCTTCAAGGCGCACAGTAGCGATTAGCGGTCGGTCTCTTTCCT